TGCATGTTGGCGTTGGTCTGGATCTGACAGGATCTGTAAGGAAACCTGAGTAATATTCTTTGTACTCTGTGGTCTCCAGGTAGTTGATTAGCCGTGTTCTTAACTCGGGACCAGGGATAGCTTGCACACCAGCTGCTGGAAGCGATACAGAGACAGCATGAAAGAAACAGTCTCCATCCCCTGGCACATCCCTGATCTCAAGATTTCGCCTCCTTGCCAAATCTCTCAGAATCTGGTAGCCATCATCAGTAGATGGTGGGCATGGAGATGGTGGGCTTGGAGATGGTGGGCATGGAGATGGTGGGCATGGAGATGGTGGGCATGGAGATGGTTGGCATGAAGATGGTGGGCTTGGAGATGGTGGGCATGGAGATGGTGGGCATGGAGATGGTGGGCATGGAGAGGGTGGGCATGGAGATGGTGGGCATGGAGATGGTGGGCATGGAGATGGTTGGCATGTAGGCAAACTTTCCCTTATCTCCGGATCCTCACAACCATTTGCTGTCATGGCCTCCCATAAATCACAGTCTTGGTTTCTCCATTGCTGTTCCCAGTCAGCAGAAATCGAAACATCCTTGTATAATGGGTTGTTCTTCTTCAACCATTCTAACGCATGCATTACTCTTTGAGGCCTGATGTACTCATGCATGTAATGGCCTTTGTAAGATAGTTTCCTTTTCAGTTTAAATGCTACAACTTGAGCAGCTTCAGGTAATCTGGGCAATATAGATACCACTGACTGCAACTTAGAGGGTACATTTACTGCACTCCCGTGAATGGCCTTCTGTCCTCCACGGGGTAATGCAACAAGTTTCATAAATGGTATTCGTTGGCTGATCAATCTCAACTCTAACGGCCGCAGATCTTGCAATTCAGGAGGTACAGGGGCAAGGGCAAGGTTATTAAACCAGGACTGGGTTGGGAGGTCTCCTTTCTTAAGGTATCTATGGCAAGTGTGGCAAACCCAGGACTTGCCATTAGTTTGCCATGTTGTACCAATTGATTTGGACTTAAGTATGCCATTAGTTGTTTCGTTTGTCGGGTAGTTTTCAACCTTCATTTCCACGACTGTGGCTCTGTATAGCAGTCGGCAGCATGACATGCAAGCATAAACAGGTCCCTGAGCTATTTTCGAGTTAAAGCAAGCGGCACAGTCTTCAACTGTCATTTCCTTGCATTGTTTCTCCCTTCTTCTTTTCTTATTTCGTCCCCTTGCAGATGCACGCCCTGCCTCCACAATTTGTTGCGTAGCTTGCGTTCTCCGTCTTTGCATGGCAGCCCTGTTTGAGGCACGGCGCCTCTCAGCTGCTTCTAAGGTCTCTTTTTCTCTACGTACTTTTAAGGCTTTCTTATCAGACATGCGTCTTTTTGCAGCATCTTCAGATGTTTCATTCGATCTCAATCTCTGCATGCCTTCTCTGTTAGACATGCGTCTCTGTACGGCATCTTCTGGTGTTTCTTTCAATCTTAATCTCTGCATGCCCTGTCTGTTGGACACGCGTCTCTGTACAGCATCTTCTAACGTTTCTTTCAATCTTAATCTCTGCATGCCCTGTCTGTTGGACATTTTTCTTTTTGTAGCATCTTTTGGCGTCTCTTTCGATCTCAATCTCCTCATGCCTATTCTGTTAGACAATCGTCTTTTCGTAGCATCTTCTGGCATCTCATTTGATCTCTGCCTTTTCTTACAGGCAGAGGTCATTATTTTCCTTTGCTTTGCACTTTTCCGCTTTGACCTAGGCATAGTTATACATGTATTTCTGTTGTTTGTTGTTTGTGGACTTGTTTGTTCTGTTTAGATGCTCAATTACGGTCTATTGACATCCTTAGTAGCGTTGATAAACTGTAAGAAATTTAAGTACTTTGTTTAAATATACATGGTACAAAATTAATGCATAGTGTGGTTTCCCAAAACTCTTAGGAAAAACAATCCTGCATATCTACTTTGAGAGTTATATACAGCTTTAACTATAAGTTGGCACCTTCCTTTGAAAAGGATGGCTACACGTTGAAATTCCAAGGTCAAGTGCTAACCTTCTTCGCCGAAATGAATGCGCAACACTGACACAACTGCCAGTGTACCCCGAAACTCCCAAAAATACTTCCAAACCTTGGTGGAGGCATATTTCTCACTCAACGCTTAAATGCAACGCATGCAATTGCTATACCGGCAGAAGACCACTAGTACTGTGGTACATTATCTCAGACTACATGTAGTTTACAAGCAAATTTAATCCATAGTCAACCACAAATGGATTTCTAAAATTAAGTCTTTGTAGGTATTAAACCTCCTCTTTTCAATTAGATATTGCAACTGGGCTTACATGTACAGCCGCTTCCTGATAAGGGAACATTTGCAAAGGCAGCTTGTTACTTCAGAAGGTACATGTTTACATCATGTATTCTAGTCACGTACAAGCGTGGAATTTGCTCTGTACCTTCATATTTGTCTTTTTCATACAACATTTTCACAGACGGGCCCTATCCTGTACAGATTTCCCTCTATTGTTACCTTTTATTTGGTAACATTCACTCCTCTGCTTACTTGTAATCGAAAACTAACTTGAATACGGTAACTAGTGAAATGTCCCCTTCCGATCCGCCAAACAATGCCCAGTTTTAACGTAACAGTTAAGAGCCGATAGAGGGGTCGAAATGTACAACATACACTTAGTTTTACTCACCAGTCATCCTCATCTGAAGCCTCTCTTCTCATTCACCATTGTGTTAACAAATCACGACTTTTAGTAGTGGTGCAAAATCTCATCAAAAAGGAGTTTTGTTTGCTGGACTGTGGCTGATGCAACTGCAAGCTTTCTTTGTGCAACTTGGAAAACAGCTGTCCAGCAGATGATGTAACGGAGAAGCCAGCTAGCTGACACGTGTTTTTCCTCTAACGAAAAACAGATGTGAAACCGGCAGAGCGTAAGGAGCCTGCCATGGGCTGATTAATGACTATCTCACTGGGACTAAAGCGGACGGGCCATATCCATTACAAGCTGACCTTTTACCACCAAAGGCCAATATTATACTGTAAAACCTTTCGGCTGTTTTGACAGCAAAGCTTGTGTCATTCTGTTCTGTACTATAGAGTACTGCATTGTGCATTTATATACATGTATAATTACATGTACATTGGTCAAATGTTACTTATCTTGACCGTCACTCCTCACAGTATGTCATCATATATCCTTTCCAATTTGAGAAATATTAAGCACTCAATCACTATTTTAATCGAGATACAGAAACATACAATGCACTTTTGTGTGCTGGGCCCAGGTATTGCCAGGCCAGGGCATTCCAAAGAAGAAAGCAGGGTTGCGTGCGTGACGCGCGAACCCGGAAGTTACTGCAGCTGTTTTGCAGGATTCGTGAGGTCAGGGGTCAAACCTGAATCATTATCAACCACTAAAAAAAGGAAGGCTACTCTAGAATTTCATCATATTTATCCAAATGAGGCACAAATTTAAATAAGTTATGTTCAGTGATACTTTAAATATTCCACTAGTATAAAAATTCCTGGCAGTTGCCATTATTAAACGAAGGTAATTATAGCATTTTCTCCTTAATCATGCAACTTAATGCTTCATTTGCATAACTCATACCTATCGATGTTCCTCGGATTCTCACTGATATAGTCAGAGAGCTTTCAAATACCACAAGTATGAAATTCCAGGCAGTTATCATTACATAATTGTTAAATTTTCTTATTAATTATGCAAATTAAGTCTTCATTTACATGATTAATATCTGCCTGTGTTTCTCTCATGCTCAATTACCAATGTCACAAGCTTCAATAGTCCTATCATGGAATGCAGCTGATTTATAGAATTTCTCCATAAATTATGCAAATTACATCCATATTTGCATAATTGTCACATACTTAAATCAGGCATCATGAAAGCTACCTACATACCAAAAATCACGACGATCCGTCAACCGGTTCTTGAGTTATCCTCTTTTGAATATTTTCAAACAGATAGCCCTGCAGTTCCAGAGCAAGCTGCTAGGGGGCCCAAACTCACGTCACTTCTTCCCTACCACAGGAGCTACCTACCATCTATATTTCGTCGCTCTAGCATGTCTAGATCATGAGATATCAAAACCGGAAGTTCAGCTGCAGTACCATAACAAGTCGCTAGGGGGCCCAAAATTTAATCAGTTCCACGTCTCATGAAGACCTACCCACCTACCAAATATCAAGACAATCCATCTTAGCCTTCTTGAGTTATCGTGCTGACACACACACACACACACACACACACAGACACACGAACGCCTACGAAAACATAACCTTCTTGGCGAAGGTAATTAACAGTTCCAGTGTTCTGAATACTCGGGTGAATTTTGGCTAGCCTGATCAGATCAGACATACATATACTGACAGAGCATAATGAAACCATATTTTACAAGAATTGTTCACCGGAAAATTAGCCATGATGCAATTTGCGAGGAGAACACTTTATTGCCATCAGAACTACGCCATGCGCAGAAATTACTTTCATTAAAATCATCAAGGGCAAAAATGCCACCTCAGCTTTCGACCTTTTGTTGTGGGTCTCAACATGTGTTATCCCTCCTCAGGGCTCATAAGACCACCTGCATGTACAGGTTTAGTGCAGGGGCTGTGCAGGTATTTCTGATGCCTCCTTGCAAGCTTGCAACATGCACTGAGCCATGACAAAACCAACCCCAGATACTACATACACATATAGCATAGGGAGACATTTTACTGTTTACTTTTAACTTCTCGTCGGAGGATGCCAAATTTTCGCAACTTCTGCCACAGTTCACATCGAAAGGTGACTTTTCTTAGTTAGCTACAACATGAATACTGTACAATTAACAACATCGCTACTCTCAGTCCTTGCAAAGAGATACCAGGGAGCCCTCACGTAGGTCGGGCTGTCATCTCAGGTGATACGGAATACACAGTGTTTTATTCTCTGTATATCACAGAACATGAGGCAGAATATTTACTTTGTTCCTCCTCCCACCAGAGCTGTCTATGACAATGAGGGCCACGAGACGTTCCTGGAGAAACTGAACACGAGAATACGCAGCCATGACCGTGACATTGAGCGCATGTGTAACCACCATTACCAGGGCTTCATCGACTCCATCACTGAACTGCTCAAAGTTCGCTCCGAGGCAGTCAAGTTACAGGTGAGACAAGAGTAATATTTGGTTCAATAGAATGGAAGGTAATAACTTCTTTCCTTAAAGCTAAATGTTATGTAGTTTGTGCTAAACAGAAAAGTTTTTTTTCATCATTCATTGTATGATAAAATTTTCCCTTTCCTTTCAGAGTTTGGTGACAGAGAGCAATGCAGCCTTACAAGAATCATCGAAAGAGGTAAGAAGGAAACTTGTCATTTTTAGTTGGCAATACATTTTTTTTACTCTAATATCACCTTACAGTTGGTTGGCTATATTTAATTTTTCTCAAAAATGGCATTCTAGAGAAAGACCAAAAACACTGTGATGATACGGTTATTTGTTTCAGCTGGTGAAGAAAAGTGAGGAGCTCCTTCAGTGCAGGAGAATCCAGAAGAACATCACGTCTGCCACAGAGAGCCTGTCCCTCTGTCTGCCTGTCCTGGAGATGTACATCAAACTCAAGGAACAGATGGACCAGAAAAGGTCAGCTACAAAATTTGGTTTCACATGTTGCATGTTGATTATATGAAGAATGCAAATGGCAATGGCATTGACTTTGAATAGAGTAGAGTAGAATAGATAGAATACATTGAGAAGCATACCACGTGAAAGAACTTTTCAAAATGTACTAATCTTCTTTCTACTTCAAAATAGATCGCGACTTGTTACAGGGAAAGTTGACATTCCGATAAACAGTATATTTGTCCCATTTCTCCAGATACTACCCAGCCTTGAAGACTCTTGAACAGCTAGAACACACATACTTACCAAGAGTAAGCAGGTGGGTCACTTGTGCATGTTAAAACCACTTTGCTAAAACCACTTTGCTTTGGAAAGATGTCTGCTTTGAATAGAGGTATTATGTGTATGTGTTTTTCTTTTCAGGTATCGATTCTCAAAAATAATGGCAGATGCCATTCCGAGATTGAGAGAAAGCATCAAAGATGCGTCCATGTCAGACCTGAAGGATTTCCTAGAGAGTATCCGTAAGCACTCAGAGAGGATAGGGGAGCATGCCATGAGCCATGTAAGTCACACTTTAACTTGTACCAGCCTCTACTAGGCTCCTCAGGCTGCTAGAAATATTAGGAATTGGCCAAATAGACTGAATAGTATACCAGAGGAGTTAGCCAGCTACAGGATACAGTTTGCAAACTATACCCTCTAGCTTGTTTGACCATTTCTACTATTTTTCAAGGAACCCGGGGAGCTTGGTAGAGGATGCATTTGTATATTTGCGTGTTGTAAATGATCAGTGGTCAGTGAAACTGTCAACTTTTACAATACTGGTTAAAGTAATGAAATTTAAGTATTATCAGTCAAATTTAAGTCTTTACATCATACGATTACCATGTTATTTTGTATTGGTATCAGCTGTGATTTTTCTGCCAGAAGTTGTTAGATTCACTATCATATATTATTAGTCCTTTGCACCTGGTAAATACTTGTTTATCATATCAAGTGAAAAGAAAACATGTTTACTGTGTGTGTTGGTACCATTCTCCCTCCAAGGCGCTTAAGCAGAAGGACCTGGACAGAGTTCTTGTGAGGAAGTACCTAATGAAAAAATCAGGCAACAAGAAAGTGCAGGAGGAGAAGAAGGAGGCAGAGGATGAGACAAACCCCTTCGGCGAGGATGATGAAGAAGATGATGATGATGATGAAGATGAGGATGAGGCAAGTTTTAGATCAGAGTCTGCTGTAAATTGGGAAATTCTTGCAATGCTTTTATCTGTTCAAGTTTAACTGTGACCTGTTACCATGAAATTGGAATGCTGTTAAATGATGTTAATGTCCATTGATTTAAATTTAAACATGTTTGTTTCAGGAGAGGAGTGCACAAGACATGATCGACTTTTCCCCAGTCTACAGATGTATGCATATCTACTCAGTGCTGGTGAGACCATCATTGTACATTTACCAGTAACTAACCTTTTTGGTAGTGACATTGACATGGTAACTCTCTTCATATCCTGTATAAGTCAATCTGTGATGTCCAGTTGAAATAGTGATACAGAAAATGTGAAGTGCACATGACATTTTCACATGCTCACCTCTAATGTAGTTTGCATAGAGATTGCTAGGTGGCGCTAATACAAAGGTTCTCCCATTTGTGACCAACAGGGAGCCAGAGAGCAGTTTGAAAATTACTATAGAAAACAGAGAAGAAAACAAGCCAGGCTGGCACTTCAACCTCAGTCCAACATGGTGAGAAAGCAAACAGGCCGTCTGCATGCATAAAGATGTTTGAGAATGTACAAAGTAGTGGTGCTGATGTTAGGTAGTACATATGGTCATGACCACTTTGAGACTAGGATTCTGCCATATATTATCTGCCACAACATAGATATCATATGGTCTCATCTTCCATACCATACAGGTCTCTTTAGCAAGCTAACAATACATTCATGTACTGAACTGTCAAACCTGTGTCTCTTGCATGTCGCTAGCATGTTGGTATGAATATGCTTGAGGTAAATCACACTTTATTGTAATAAAGTAGTAGCCCTATTAGTCAGAAATGTATAAACATACAACCTTATTTAATTACTCTATGTCAACTCAGAGTACAAAGATCATCAGACCTGATTTTAGTCATTAAACAATTTCAAGTTAGAATATATTATATTATTGTTAGAACTGTTAGTAGATTTATCAAGATAAGATCCAGACTTTGTAGTAGAGTCATGGAAAAAACAGTTGTTTTGCTTGTTTCCTACAGCATGAAACATTGCAAGGTTACAAGAGTTACTTCCACCAGATAATAGGGTGAGTACAGAACATTACAGAGTACAGATGCACAGATGGCATTATGGTGTAAACTGTTCGCTTACAGTACACTGCTGTCATTTTGTAGATGTAGGATCCATGGAATAATCTCCATTGTATTTTCCTGACTTATCTGTTTTTGTTTGCATGGTTTTTGCATGGAGAGAACCATACTGCTGCTTATGCAAAATATCCTTATACTCTGTTTTGTATCCATCCTATAGCAGCAATTTGCAAAATAAAAATACAAACATACAAACATGCAAACATAAAAAATTAAATATTTGGCAGACCTACAGCCAGTCTCTCATTGGTTGAACAGCATTTTGCTGTACTACCATAATGGTTTAACTACTTCTAATTGGTAATTGCTATCATTGGTTGAACTGCTAATTGTGATAGACAGTCAGGATTGGTGTACTCCCTGTTGTTTCTGCAGGTTCTTTGTAGTGGAAGACACAGTGATGAACACCACCCAGGGCCTGGTGTCCAGACAGTTCATGGATGAGCTGTGGGACATGGCTCTCTCCAAAATCATCGCCGTCCTCAGGACTCACTCCGTAAGTCTCTGTGAATGTTAGTACCTACATGTATACCAGGACTCCAAATACTGGGTGTATCATGCACCAAAAATTGAAGCTGTGTACCTAATTTTTGAATGTGGGTGCATGGATGCACCTAGATGACAATCTATCTTGCTCAAAACTTTGAAGTGTCTGAAACTGATCTTTTCCCCTTGTTTTCAGGCATACTGCACTGATGCAACACTGATGCTGGAAATCAAGAACCTCATAGTGCTCTTCTCAGATACATTAGCGGTAGGTATTAAGATGCAGACTGTGTTGTTTTGTGTCCTGTAATTAGCCTATAATAGCCTGTTTGCATATCATGCTTATGAAACAGACACAGATAAACACCACTGTTAAACATTGGACAAAGTTTTCTTTCAATAAAATACACATGTACAAATATATTTTCAAGATGAAAATTTGACTTTTTGTTCCACTATATATACATCTCCGCTATTGGACAATTTTGCATAGGACTATTGGGTGTGCCTATAGGGCAACACCATATGATATGATCAATGGATTTGTTTGACAAAGGATATGTTCTGTGCAGGGTTACGGCTTCCCTGTGTCCCAACTGTACGACCTACTCATGGAAATCAGGGACCAGTACAACGAGATCCTCATGAAGAGATGGCTGCAGATATTCAGGTAAAGTGAAAAAAGCTAACAGCTCATTCTTAACAGTACTAGTGTGATTTGGTAGCCTGGATGTCTGCCTTTTTAGTTATAGTATGCTCTTTTAGTGTCTTTTTGGTAGGGAAGCAATGGAGAGAGCATACTAAATCAAAAAAGACTGGCATCTAGGCTAGTGATTTGTGCCTTTAAATCACTGTCATCGGCATAGTTTGTTATACGATTGGACTGCCTTTGGTTGTGCTCACTGAAGATAACACTTGTACTGTCCCCAAACAGAGAGATCTTGGAGTCAGACACGTGTGCGCCCCTCTATGTCACTGATAAAGAAGAGTACAGTGAGATCATCCGCAGTTTTCCCTATCAGGATGAGGCCCTGGAAAAGGTGGGTAATCCCCCTAGATCTGTTGCCACTTCTTTCATGGTAGAGCTGTCAAATTGTTCCTATTGGTATGGGTTACTATAACTACTCAGTTACTACAGTAAAAATTCTTGTTGACTACATGTCTTCATTGACATTGAAATGTTCCCTATGACCTTTTCCCTGTCAGGAGGACTTCCCAAAGAGGTTCCCGTTCTCAGGGTCTGTACCTCAGGTGTACAAGCAGATTAAGGAGTTTGCCTATGCCTGTATCAAGTTCTCAGAAGATCTCAACTTAAGGTGAGTAAGTCTGTATGAGTAGAGTTTTTTCAGCTGTTCCATTCCCAGTTTGTATGTCGCCTTAGATATTTTTGCCATGTTAAAGGACATTTTACACTAAATGATATATTACAGTGTAGCTTACCTGTATATTTAGCCAAAAGTGTTTTGTTCCATTGGTCATGGTTAGCTCTTTACGTCTGCGTTGTGAGCTAGTTGGTTAGGGCTGTCCTTGTTGCTGATTATCCATCTGTGCATCACTCTGTTTCTGATTGGCTGTATAGCTGTCCTTGGTGCTGAAAGGCTATTGGTTGTCTATAGTGCTGCTTGTCCATCAGCATATCTATCTGTAATGCTGATTGGCTACTGGGGAACACTCCTTGATTTTGATTGGCTGCCTGTGTAGCCGTCCTTGGTGCTGATTGGCCATTGGTCGTCCATAATGCTGAATGTGCTGTATTCTGTGTCATGTTGTAGTCACACAGAGATAGACGACATGGTGAGGAAGTCCACCAACCTGCTGCTGACCAGGACACTGAGCGGCTGCCTCACCTCACACATCAAGAAACAGACCCTGGGGATGGCAGAGGTATGGGTCTTCTCCACAATCCAAGTTTTGTTCTAGACAATGATGCCAAAGGCTCATGTAAACACAGCAAGGGCTTGTACTTTCTTATATGTTCTTTTAACATTGGGAAAACTATACATTGGGAAAACTATCAGTCACTCATAAAAGCAGTACAAGAAACTTTATACTAGTACATTTTCATTGGGGTGATAACATTAGTGTATGAAAAATAAGAGATACAATTGCAAGGAATGTTTTACAGACTAACTTATGAAGTGTTTTGATGGTGGAGAAAGCTTTCTTGCTACTGTCTGATTTTATTTATCAAACATTTTTTTCAAATACACTTTTCTGACAATACTAGTATCATCAATGGGCCAGCTGAACTCTGGATTGATGTTTGTCCGTTTGTGTGTTCCCAGCTGGTTCAGATCTCCATCAACACGACCCACCTGGAGACAGCCTGTGTGTACCTGGAGGATTTCATCTCCAACATGACCGGGGCGGTCGGCGACAGTGTGCACACAGCCAGGCTGCAGGGAACTAATACATTCAAGGTGGGCAAGCTTGAGAAATTATATATTTACATATTCGTATGTTACATGTATGTCTGACCCTGATTTCTTCCCTCATCACCTCAATGAAAACTGCCCAGCAGGCTGATTTGAGTATCTCATGAATAAACAAAGGCTGGAACAAACAAACCATGTAAGCCAGTCCAGGAAAAGTGCCAAGAACTGTTCTCAACATTTTAGGAAGCCATTAGGTACCCCCACTCTTCATCCATAGTTTATGGTGCTGATCATGTGAAAAAAAGTTTTGAAATGGTCCCAAAACTCCTGGTAAGAAATGCATTGTGCTTTGTTTGGTTTACAGTTTTTATATCACTTGTAAGCATAGCTGTTTTTCACTTTTTTCTCTCTCTATTTTTATAGGACACGAGACAAGAAGCTGAGAGTCAGATCTACTCCAAACTCAACACCAAGATTGACGAGTTCCTGGATCTAGGTTTGTAACTTGTAATCTTCTGCTGTTTTGTGTATTGTGGTGTGGGAAGGGAACTAGAATTGCATGACCACCTCATACTAGTATGCTGGTTGTACTCAAAGTTGCAAGCCAAACATAATTAAAGGGTAATGGTTTCCAGGACCACCTACAGTAGATAGTGTAAACTCTTAAAATACATTTTTAGAACAATGTCATATAGAAAATACAATGATTATTGTCATAGTGACACATACAACAAACAAAGTAGATGCAGGTCTACATGAGAAAAGCTCTTTGCCTTGCAGCCTGCTACAACTGGACCTTACAAGAGCCCCGTGGCCATGCCAGTGGATATCTGATGGACCTGATTGCCTTCCTGCAGAGCACGTTTGCTGTCTTCACCAACCTTCCTGTACGTATCACTGAACACTGCTGATTCAGAAACTCCTCTAACTTCTAGTACTATCAGTCTTCATTGATTTGTAACTGTACAAGTTTTTCAATACCAGACATTTTGCACACAAGTTATGTTGAAAGATCATTGTATTATCTATATTGTATCAGCTGGGGTATTAATTCAATACTAATCAGTATTAATCTTAGAGCCACAACTTGGCGAATATGGACAGTTACTGGTATATCTTGATACCAGTAATAACCTTATCTTTGGCCTTTTTTGAATGATCTTTATTAAACAAGAACAAGAAGATACATTTTAAAGCCTGGGACAGCCCTTTCTTTAAGTTTTAAATTCATGAAGGCACAATTATAATGATCTAAATATAAAAGGGTCATGTTGTTCTGTCCACAGGGAAAAGTGGCCCAGACCGCCTGCATGTCGGCCTGTAAACACCTGGCCTCCTCCCTCATGACCTTCCTACTGGACAACGAGGTCAGACAGGTCAGCATGGGGGCACTGCAGCAGTTCAACCTGGACGTCATCCAGTGTGAACGTGAGTCTTCTCATGCTGTGCATTTGTCTGTTTGTTTTGTTTACCCAGTAAAGTGCATAACACAGTACTTTTGTACAGTGAGTACAAGCTGTGTAAGACCAGACTGTATGCCGTAAGATTTGACCCAGTCAGACCGGAGGAAGGTTTGATCCACTTACACTGCAGTTCTAACCTGTCAAGAAATCAATGGTTTGAGACTTCCAGGAATTCTTCCATGTCAACCTCTAAGGCTTAAGGCTCTTTGAAACATATACCATTTAAAGTATGTTTGGTTTGGGGCAGCTTTAGTTTATCACTATTCCTAATCATTTCAAACCATCCTTTTTGTGCCTGCAGAGTTTGTGGACTCGGAGCCAGTGCCAGGTTTTAAGGATGGTGCTTTACAGATGACATTTGTTGAACTTCGACAGGTAAGTCAGCTACAATGTAGTTGTACCAATGTCTTCAGTAGTAAAGTCAATCAATGTCTAATTTGTGAGCTGGCAGTTGAGTCTATAGAATTGGTACTCACCTGTAGCTCATATTATCTTTTTCCTTGGGGTTGAATGAAGAAAAGAAATCATCTACGCCTTACATGCAAGCTGTTTTGTTGGATTTGCACAAGATTTTCATGAGTATCATATACATTTTGCTCCATTTGTGCAGTACCATAATACACTGCTAGGTGTCATACACATTGGGTTTACTCTGAAATGATGTATTTATCCCAGTTGTTAGACTTGTTCATGGCATGGGACTGGTCCCTGTACCTGTCAGACTACGGCCAGGAGAGGAACAAGTATGTCAGAGTACACCCCTCCACAGCCATCACCATCCTAGAGAAGTAAGTGTGTGCCTGTTACATGCTAGAACTGGTGTCTTTCTCTATTTTGATTGGCCATTTCGAATGCAGTGGTCAACACATAAAATGATGCAGTACTGAATAAGATTTTTGACTTCTCAGCCAGGTATATTTCAAACATTGTTTTATTGACAGGGGAATTCTGCTGGGTAGTTATCTACAAAGTTGTATGTTAAGAGATGTTTTCATACCTTTTTCCTATGTTGCTTAATCATTGTTTTTACAGTACTAGTATACAGTAAATGGACAAGAACATCATTATAATATCTATGTTGGTTCTTGTGTGTTTTGTAATTGTGATTCTCTCCTTATGCATGACAGAATGAGAGAGGCTGACAAGAAGAAGAATCTGTTCTCACTGAAGAAGAATGAGAGAGACAGAAGGAAGCTGCTAGACGCTGTCCTGAAGCAGCTGCGACAACTTGTGAACGGGGGCAGCAACCGAATACAAGAGTAGTCAGGATGCTGTATGATACACAGTGGGCACAGGGTGGGGAGGGGGGTGGAGATACCCTCTACTGAAAGAGGTAGAAAAAGTAGCTTCTCATTGAAATGTAGGCCAAGGGGTGAAAATCGATTGGGTAGTATGTGAATAGGATTGCTTGAAAAGCTAATAATTCTTGAACTGTACATATTGTAGTGCCTCAATTATGCATTGTCAAATGAGAGATGGCAAAGATTGCTGAAGAGAATGGTATGTTTTGCTAATGGGTTTTCATTTTAGTGCAAGCTAATGGTATGATACTATCATTTATACTATCTCTGTCTCTTATTTGCTTCATGTAGACACGAGAAGGCATGTTTACAATTACGAAGACAAAGAGAAGGAGGCTGTATGTCCCTATCTAAAGAAGGTGAATGTACCGGTAAACAATGACTTTCCATCCTGACTTGTCCTACCTACTCTCAGCTCTCTAGAAGCTCTCCCACATGTCCTGCTGATAGCAAAAGCCTTGCAAAGTTTGTTTTATGTAAGGTAGTTGGTCTGAGGTGAGGTGAGGTGGGTTTGAAGCTATTTTTAACAGTGTTTGCTCATAATAATATCCTAGCTGCAACTCTACCTAAGTGCAAGAGTGACTCTACATGTATTACTTCTTTGGCTAGTTTGCTTTTACAGCCATAATAGACAATGAGAATTTGCTTGGGACATGCAAACAGGGTGCAGGTATGTGAATGAAATCTAATGGGAATAATAGCCAATAGGAGTGATGGGGCATGTGCAAAATATTAGACGTTAGTGCGTTATAGAAAATGTATGATGCAGCAAGAAGAACTACTTGTAGATTATAGTGAAAATGCTATCCGACCATCTTGTTCCAAAGCCTTGCAATTGCTATGATCAGGCAGTGCTTTTGCTGAGCCTGTCCAGGAATCTTTATGCCCATGCACACGTTAGTTCAAAATTAATGGGAACAAAAAAGAAAGATTGTTAAGAATGATAGGCTGCAATGCATATGTAGTACCGGCTAGATGCACGGCACAAGCAATGTGTAAGATAGGTATGGATGAAATTGTCCGAGCCAATTTAAAGGTGTCCAGCAGATGTACAGAGAAGTAGTTGTAATGTAAGGTTGCTCATGATGTGACCATTTTATATAAGCCATTATATATTATGAGCCATTTTCAGATCCACTGTCTATGCACATGTTGTAGCTTGCCAATCATGATACTGCTGCAGTCACAAACGCATGTTTATCAAGAAGGATACTTTTTAATCTGAAATTGTTAATGATCATGGTGTAGCCAGTTGCAAAATTAGGCCAAGCATATTTTATTGTATGAGATGAACAAAATGTACATTGTATGAAAGCTGAGAAGGCCATGCTTGTTCAGGCTGAAAGTATACACTGCTACTAGTTGAGATATATTGGGAATGTTTTAATGCCATAGACAATTCAATTCAGCAGACACATTATATTACTAGGTACATGTACATCAGTATATATTTAGCAAGATATGTATGCTGTCTTCAAATTCCAGACATTTTGAAGGTTGCAAATTCAACATTTTGTTGTCATTTTTTTTTCAATTTCTAGCATAGTAAAACAACAAGGGTTTACATGTATATTTGATATGAACATTAACTTAGGATAGGCTGTTTTGATCATGCCAACACTAGCTGTGAATTAATTTTGAGAAACAAAATCAATGTCTCAGTCAAAGGAGAGGTCAGCAAAGGTACATGCCGTGGTAAAAGTATGACAAACTTAGCATTGTTTTATGGTAGCTATTTTTATGTCTCTTCAAAGTCCTTGCTGCAGCTACACTATGCAAAGACTTCTGTCATAATTTCAATATAAGTCCTTATTTCCCTCTATAATATATGTTAGATTCTTCTCAACATAGCTTGTTGGCAGCTGAAAGCATCTTTATACTAAAGTCTTCAAATTGTTATAAAGGATGACCATAGTGCAATCTAGTGCAATTCACTACTTGTATGTTTAAATGCAATTGAGCAGGTTTTTGCTTTCATGTTTGAATGAAAACACCATGACACACTGTGTTTTGTTTGATATATGCATGAAGAAATGACCTGTGGATACAGGAACATGGATACTGAAGTTTCTAAGAGTGCTTTGTCAGGATAAATGTCCTCTGATGGCTGTAACATTTCGTTACTAGGCTAATGACAATGGACATGATTCTGTCTATGCCACACAGGTGTGAACTAAGATGGGGAAATAGTCTGTTTTAGGAGTAGAGGAGAGAAACTGCATGGATTGTATATGTTGCAGCCATAATCAATTACATATATGAATGATGTTATGCTGGTTTAACATATACATGTGTACATGTACACGTAGATGAGGGATATGCAGGGAAACTAGGTATCAACCATTGTGTATTCATGCACAATCTGATACAGAAATAATAACCATCTATCCAATCATAACACTGTATGCACTAGTGATGATACATTGTCCATGTACAATGTATAGCCTTGGGTGGAGTTACAGACATGTCACAGTTATCTTCAAATTAAGGATTTTGTTATCACCACCTCCTCCCCTATGGCTTATACTGACATATGCATTGCCTCATCACCAAGGGAATATTTACAATGTTATACTTGTACCAGTTACTTTTGAGAATTTTGCTTTCCAGTATCTCTTCCTTGTACCTCTCTCTCCATGGTAATATTGTACGGTGTAACAAACTGTCAGAAGTTAGGTAGCTATATACAATGTATTGCAGGATGTCCTGTTTGCTAGGCTACACACGATGTGCTTTGTAGGATCACAAGTGGTCTACACGGAGAGTCAACGATAATCTCTCTTTACAAGTAACATACTGTAAGAAATTTTGTCATTACACTGTTGCAGTGAGATGATTAAATTTTCACCATGATGATGTTTTCATGTGATTTGTTGTAACTTGCGTGATCACGGGGAAACAAGAATGATGTATATTGTAAAATGTTCATGCACATACTGAAACATACGTAGGTCACAACATTCATACTATATTAGGTAACTACTAGTAAGTATATAATTTTTATAAAATGACATCCTGTCCTCTTGAGGAAGGGATACTTCATACAGGGATACATTTATTGTAAATCTACACTGTAATCTACCGAATCTGTCAGAATCAAAGAGATGTGTGAACATAATCTTTGACACGGTGAAGGTAAATTTTTTTGACCCACAAAATCAAGATTTTTTAACTGAAAACATCACACACAGCCAACAGCACTTTCTGCAGATTCAAACAATATTTATTCCACATAAACACAATCAGGAGTTGCACACAAGGAGCCAAGCTTTGGCATTCTAGACAGTCACAACACCTGACCACAATAAATAACATCATTCAATTCTTCATTCGCTTTGTACATATTGGTACATATACTTATGGCATCTACTGTGCATAAAATTCTCTATAATTATACAGTATTTACAGGAATAAGACTTTTTTTAAAGTGCATTTCATCAATTTTACAGCTGCCTGTATCATTAAAAAAAAACAAGGTAGCGTAACAGCATGACACCCACACCACCCAAGCAATGTCTTTTACTGGTATGTTTAAAATGACACCTTTTCACTAAACATGCATACAATGTATATCCTGTACTGATCAGAAGCAACAGATGCTACATGTACATGAAAATGTTCCTTAATAAGTTTTCAGCTCAGAGCAAATTGAAAGGACTGCTACCATGGGCAGAAAGTGTAAGCTTTACTATGGTCCCAAACACACTGAAATTTCTGAAATTCATGTACATCAAAATTTCTTGCAACTATTCCTCCAAAGCCTACATACAGTGAAGAATATTGTCAATAATTTCTAAAAAGTCTCCTCATCCTAATGAGCAAGGTACTGAATTTGAATTTTTTTAGATAACAACTACACAGATATTGTGCTATATCACTCCACTATTGTATGCTTACATCAGACAATTGTTGCAAACTAAAACTGTTAAATTATAATAAGAGTCTTTTGCTTCTTTGGTACACTTCTCAGCATAGCCTCTTGCTGTCCTACCAAACAATGCTACTCACAGACTTTTGCATAGCCACACTGACATCTACATGTATTCAACCTTCAGCACCCCAAGTTCCCTGTGTAGTAGTACAAATGTATCACTGTACAGTACAGAGGAGTGTCAAAGAATTGGCTGGATATAATGATAAACCGAAAGTAAACTTTGTACATTTTTAAAATGTTTCAGATAAGCATCCCCCTTTCTTGCTAGCAAGAAGCACTTGATGGTCTCAACACAAAACACTGTTGGGTGATTTTTTCCTGATATTGAAGGATGGAAAGCTTTTAACTGTAATCTTTTGTAAAAGATTTCAACTTTGGTATCCCAGTATATTTATTCTTACATAATTTTTTTTCTTTACAGGAAAGTGGGAAACCAACTACACGTGGAAAAAGAATACTGTCTTGGCAACAACAAAACTGCATGGAAAAGCAAGCTATAATTTTTTATAACAATAAAAGACATCTATATGATCAGGCTGAAAAACTCAGTATGAATCATTACTCCACAACATTTATATCCCACTGCAAAAGTTAAATAATAAAATGTTTTCAACAGACTGATTAAGATAAATCTCTGAAACAATGTACAATGTCTTTTGTTGTTCTGGACATAAAATACTTGAAACAACTTGATGATCTGACAGTGAAATGCACTTCACAAGTCAATGGAGTTTCCATATTTGTAATTGTTCCCACAGAAACTTTAAAGTGACTTTTTGCTCACATGAACACTGGCAGCATCTTTTGAACTAATTTGGAGCAGGGCCCCATAGCTGCTGGTGGGCTGTACATGTTGTCCATCATCAGGCATCAGCTAGGGAAGAAGGTCTATGGTCCTGCAAACATTTCCAGTACTTCCGATGGGCTTGGATGGTGTTGGCAATACTTGTTTCTGAACTGTGTGATTAAAGAATATGAAAGCACTTTACATCACTGATAGTAATACTTAGTAAATGCTAACATCGCACAGACACCAATGAAGTAAGAATTTTCAGAGGTTAATATTAGAGACTGGTAACATTGTACAAACACATGTACAGCTTTTGTAAGACCAAGGACGTCCTTGGTAAGACCAAGGACATTATACAATGTCCTTGGTAAGACTAAGAGCAAGTTCCATCACAAAAAGGATGTAGCCTTACAAAAACACATATTTGCATTTGTTTTGACTTTGTGGTGTAAGATTGTCATGAAAACCACAAATTAACAGAAAACCAACACAAAAGTTTACAACTTAGCAGTTCACAGCAAATTACTCACATTCTAGTGGGAATCCCTGAGGCAACAGTGGGCGGGGCCTCCCCCAGCAGTACCCTGGAACAGGCTGCCATGCACTCCGACATCTCCTGGACATTGTAGCCACCCTAGGGAATAGCACAGGATCACACAGGAGGGTTCATAGAGCAAAGGTTGACATTCATACATCACAGATAAGACTTCATAGAGTACAGGACAGGCCAAAGCTGATGGAGCAAAGTTCAACATTCATAAAAGTCAGACTGTTCATTCACAGATTACAGTTCAGAGTTCATAGCACAGGTCTTCAACAAACTATCCTTGTGAAATTCTTCAAGGATGATATAAGTGGTATAAATGTAGGACAGAGGCATGTCCTCTTAAGTATCAGGTCTTTATGAACCAACTTCTGGGGCGAGTACTTACCTCTAGTATTAGCACAAGTTTGCCCTGTGCTAGACTTTTCAAGTGATGCGTCATGTATGCATAGCACCCAGGCGTTACATTACACCGGCCCTGGAGTGGGTTGGGAAACAGTGGACATAACATGTCACTCCAAGATTTTCAGATGTAGTCAAAGATAATTTTTTTTTTATATCATAGTATCATAATGAAAAGACTTGTCCCCATACATTACAATTACCATGACCCTAATGGGGGAATGAAAGCCAAATTAGGACCTCTGATCCCCAAAAGAACTAGCAAAGGAACAATTCCACTACTTATGAAGCAAAAACATGATTGTTACTTCACTTGTACTTACAAGTGGGTCTTTTTTTGCAGCATCAAAGCCACAGGCTACTAACACCAAATCTGGATTAAACTGCAAGAGAATGAGAAAAAAAAACGTCATGTTTTGCAACAATATATTTTATCAATTAAAGGATATTAAAGTTAAAAAAGATTCAACTCATGTACATTGTAGTTTCTGTGGGTACCGTCTACTAACATGATTCTATCAGGAAATATAAAATTATCTGCCACCCTGAAGAAAAACATCCAAAGAGATCCAATGCAACATCTCTCAGTAAAATGCACTCCCAGGCCTGCATATCTAAACTATGCATGCCTGGGGGAGTTGCACTAAAGATCTATCAAACACAAAGTTTCCTGAAGTGGCAGATATGTGTAACCAGATGGGTAAAGTGAATGGAAGTTAACAGTTTCTTACCTCCTGAGCAATAGGCAGAACAATTCTGTGAAATGCAGCTATGTACTCCAAGTCTCCTATGACTTCTGAACCCTGCAGAAAAAAAGACGCATCATGCAATCAACATTTGAACGTTCAAACGAAACTTCTGAATATTTGTCTGGTAACATTGTCTCCAAGTAGGGCCACACCGACTTAATTTTATGGATGACATCCTCTGAAGACCACCAAACTAGTGCGCGCGGGCCAATTAAAACAAAATTCCGGCCAAAATTAAAAATGCTACTAAAGCACAGGAATGCAAAGCTCAGGTATTGTGAATTTGCGGCAGTACATAGCGACGTATACGACAAGCTGGCATATGCTGGCTTTTTGCGGATATTATGAATTGGCACTGTACGTATGTACTTAGTTCTTGAGTCGTGGAGCTTCGGCAGCCTGGGTGCCATCCTCCAGAGTTACCACCGGCTCCGTATTGTCGCTAACTACCTTGGACTACCCAGGCCTAGAGCCAGGCCAGAGCCTCGGAGGACGTGATCTTTTTTTTTTTTTTTTTTTGAGAATAGGTGAAAATTAATGCGCGCGCGGATGTCATCCATAAAATTAAGGCGGTGTGGCCCTTATATATATAATTATGATTCTACCATATAGAATGAGTTGAATGTCTACAGTAGATTGTTAAATACATTGTGATATTTCAGCATAATATAGGTCTATACTATACCACTAAAGGAAATGAATTTATAGTACATGTACCTTATTCCATGCAACGTTGACATTGAAGCCCTCCCCCTTGCCCTCTCCCACAGAAGAGAAATTGGATGAGTCCATGTAAGGGAAGTACTTCCCCTGGTCGTAACGGTGTAGCGACAGGTACAGTACGCTAGGGTCCGTGTAGAAGGCATGCTGGATTCCATTGCCATGGTGGATGTCCCAGTCTAGTATTAGTATTCTGTAGTGTGATAGAATTGAAAACATTAGTCAGGATTGAACACATAATTTCAAAGCAGGCAGAGAGAAAATCTCAATATTTTCGTACAGTGGATGAAATGGTTGATACAATTAGAAGATATACAATTGAATTGTGTAAAAAAGATTGTAAAAAAGAAATAAACATCATCAAGAAAGAAAGTGTGACCTCAGGGATAATTTCAAAATAAAAGACAGAATTGAGACAATAGTTTGCCATGCCCCTATAAAAACCAGGCCTGATCAGTTACCTTTTCACGTTTAATTCCGTCTGTGCGTATCTGGCAGCTATGGACGTGTTGTTGAAGAAACAGAAACCCACAGCCTCGTCCATTTCAGCATGGTGGCCTGGAGGTCTGATTCAAGGAGTTAGAAGAAAAAATGTAAGCAAAAAATTGCCTCATTTATGAATAGATCAAGTCTTCTTTGGACGAAAGATACATTAAGAATGCATGAGGCATTTTAGCAGTGGATGGCTGTTCAGCACCAAGGCTAACCTTGATTCTTTTTTTTTTACTCTAACCTTTCTCTAATTCTGCAGACTTGACAACCCTGCAATTGTAATTTAAAGCAAAAAGAAGCTGTTATCAGTAAACAGTGCCGTGAAAAAATTTGACATTGATGGTTTACTGTACATGTGTATTATTTTCTTCTCATGATGCCATGACCATACAGTTATTGTAAGGTCTGTTACCAGTACTGTAGATGACTAGTTCACCAGTGTGCCCTTTATAGACATTTTGAACAAGAAAAATGAAAGACCTGATGATAGCAAGCCCATTGTCCACCTCCCCTTGCAGAACAGCTTCCACCAGTTTGATGGCACAGCCCACAGCCAACATGGCACAGTTGTACACATGGGGGCTCAGGTACGTGGGGCTTCCCTCCTCCAGTTTGCAGGGGTTCTGGTTAGGGTCCATCTCAGCTTCCTTCTGCCAGGCTTGGACCTGGGCAATGTACTCTGGGCTGTGGAGGAAAACAGCAGGATGTATAAGGATAACAACAACAACAAATGCACTGTTGTATTACAAAACTCAGGAAGCAGGAATTAGTGGTCGCCATTCAGGAAGCTAAGGACTACATACTTCCTCGAAATCTAAAATCTCTGACTTCTTGTGTAGTTTCCACTACCCACATTGGAGTCTGCATTAAGTTGTTTCCTCAAATTTCATCTGTTGCCATGATGCATTAAAGGCTAAAGGCTTCCAATGGTAGATATAAGTACAAACCACATATTATACAATAGCGATGGGAAGGAAGCAATAAGCTTAAAGGTAAGCACTGGAGAGAAGAGAGTGGAAAGCAGTGGTGGCCCGCATTGTCGACAGATGGGAGTGGCGACAAAAATGATGATGCTACCATATTTACTAGTACTGTAATAATAAGAATTTTTTAGTATAAAATAGAGTATACTAAAAAATTCTAAATATGGTTCTTAGTAACTTCTTACCTGTGCACAAGAAGGACCACCTCCTCCGTGGCGGGTCCGGCGATGATGCGGACACACCTGGACACCAGCCCCTCCTCCTGCAGGTAGTCATACATCTTAGACACTCGGTCTGGGTGTTCCACATGGTTTCTATGGAAGCAAACAATAAAATGAAAACTACTTAGTCAAACACAATTTAAGACCCCATTATGACTACACCATATATGTTATAGTACCAACAATCACTAAGGCAACATGAAATATTAATCAAGTGGTTTATTAATTAAAAAAATAGATCTCTAACATGTATAACCTTTTATCTTATGTTCACTACTAGTTGAACTTGTTTTTACAGCATAACTTTCAGGAACATTTTTCTGCCACATTAAAATCAAAATACCACCTATTACAAATCACTTTGCAACAAATCCATAATCAAGTAGAAATTGACACAAAGCAAGAAATTGTTTTCTAAGCAAAACAATTTCATCATTTATGCTATCAATGTACTCTTTATAAAAATTGACAAGCCACTTACAGATCAAAACTACATTTATGAAGCGTCATTCGCTCATCGTAGACCAGGCCTGTTCTGTAGTTCTTCTGTTGCAGCGGTGAGGGGTCATTCCTAAAGGTGATGAAAAGAAAAATATATTTACCAGAGCCAAAGTCACACCAAACCAAGGATATAGATAGATAAACATACAAATGAAAACATAAAAATCATGACAACAAACTAAAGTATTTTGTAAACATTTGATAAGGACCAATAATATTAACGTTATAACATTGCATCATAAATCACTGTACATGTCGCTGAAACATCTACGTGGAGACTGCAACTTACAATTGAATCAAAACTATCATGCGAACTCTTATATGAAAATATGTTGAAAAGACTGATTTTTTTCATTTCATATTTCGTAAGTAACTGTAACGTTATAACGATAAATTTATGTAAACGCGTTACCTACGGGGATTGCAATGTAACGTTAACTAGACATGGTTAGAAAAGTAGAAAATTTGCAGAACGCAACGAATTCATTCATACAAAACTTCTTTTTTTAATTCACATTTGCAGCTAGCGACCGTGAAAGTTGGGGAACAGTTTGGCGGAAACATTTTCTGGCGACAGGTGCAACCTAGAACGTCATTTCCGCTTTCAAGTAAAATTAGACTGACGGAGAAATAACCTAGTTACATAATCAAGTCCTCCATGCGATATCTGTCGATGTTTTCCCTTCTCCTAGCTTCCAAATGCTGAGGGTCATGCAAAAGGAAACGCAAATCAAATTTGCGCGCCTTTGGCTCCCCCGGATAGAGACCTGACCGCGGGGGGTCCAAAACAAACTGAGTTCCACCGGGAACCCCATTTTGGGGAAACCGTGTCGTCAACTCGGAGCGCCCCCTCGGCAACCATCCTACCTTTTCGACTCTGACATATCTCAGCCGACACCGTCCAAATTCCTCCAGCTTTACAAATGCCGACAATGATCCCAGCTTGTAGGCGATGTCCTCTAAAATGCCAAAATTTGCGATCATCGAATTTTTTGGCTGAAAACCTGACAGCCGCTCCCTTAGTGACCTTACCTAAGGTCGTTATTTTTCACTTCCGGGTTGAGCCATTGTGTTCCCGCCAAATTTATGTTCCCAGCATGCAGCGGGCCGTGTTGTGTCATCATCATGGCTGACCCTCTTGTACGAAACTGACAGTCCCTGATTTTTCGAATGTTTTAACGGTTGTTGTTATTCTCTGACCCTGAGGGACATGACTGTTGGACCGATGAGATATGAGCGAGCCCATCGTGGTCTCTTCGGAGGACGAAGGGGAAGCGATCCCGAGTTTTCCCGGTGAAGTGATCACGATCAGCTCGGACGAGGAGGCGTTCGAGAAGCCGAGCTTTACCCCGCGGAGCCGCCGGCGTGCCCCAGCACGCTCGCGCTCGCCCCGGATCAGTTCCCGACGCAGCGCCAAACATCGTGCGAGGACTCAGGTGTTTCTTGTCGCCGATGATCCCATCTACATCTCAGAAGACGAAGATACCAGTGATGATCGCGCAGGAGGCGGCAGGAAGGCTGACACTGCAGGTAACTAAACCATGCCGCTAGCAGAGCCATGCTTGTTTCAAGTCACGTGCCGAACACTTTATTACACTCAAATTAAGCCGTGTTATTAATTGCTCTCATACTCAATGATGTGAATTAGATAGAGTTGGCTGTTCATAATTTATCTTAACTGGTCTATATTGTGGAAATTAATGCTATAATAGGACTCAGGAGATTGTTAGGAAAACGTGCAAGTTAGAAAAGCGGAAGTGCTTATTCATAGGGGATTCCCCTGTTTTGCCGTTATGGGTGAAACTAAATGAGCGGGATTTGATCACGATGTGAGTGGGTTTGGCAGTGTAGTGAGATAATCACAAGTGGCAGCAAATTTTAAACAACACATACACGTCCCTATACACTTTCTCAGTCTCTGCATCCAATTTGTTTGTGGTTCTATATGGAAATGTTTTGTGAATCGGAAAGTCAATTATGAATTCATCATCATCTTCGGTACTGCTCATCCCTCTAATAAGAAGAGGATTATTAGCAGCTGCGCAGATTAGTAACTGTGTGCAAACAGAGGGTAGGGTAGGGGTGGACGTAGACAAGTGCAAGGACAGGACAAGTGAAATCAATGGTGTTTTTAGTATTACACATATTTACAGTACATAATCATTATAATGTACAAGGACAGAGAGGCAGCTCAATGCAGCGAAGCCTGTCCCAGCTCTGCTTTGAACTGGGAGATGGACTTCACCTCCCACACACTGGGCTCAAGTTCATTCCACTCCTTGATGGTGTGAGGGAAGAACGAGAGCCTTCCCGAATTTTCCTGATGAATATAAATTTATAAATGCTTCTGGATGTGCATCATGCTATTGTATAATAGTACTGCCTTGATTGTCATGTAAGAAATCCTATTGTATCACAAAATTGAAAGAAAAAATAGTATTCTGTGTGACCAGATTTCACAAAAAAAAGTGGACCAATGTCAGCCAAGTAAGGATTTCCTGACTCTTGTGGGTCTCAATCAAGAACGTAGATTTAGACCAGGGTCCCAATTTCCATGGGAGATCAAATACTTCTCTAGCACTACATACTATAAACGTTTCTAAACTTGAGACTGAAGGCTTGTACATACATGCATGTTTTGTCCACCTGACATTTGGTCCATGTTTCACAGCAGGGTTGTTTTTTCACAGTCAGAGAACTCTGCGTGCTGACAGCCAGCTGTTTGTGGGGAAGTGGTGTCAGTTTGTGGGTCACAGGAGAGATACATCACTGTCAGTTTCTCCTCCAGTAGTAGTCTGGACTATTTCCAGGGTCCTGCACAGGTCAGCTCCTCAGCTCCAAGTCCAACATGCCCCCAGGGAAATTTAAGGACACAAACCCCTTAGTAAACTCAGGGTCTACCTTAAGCTTGTAGCTCAGTAAAATTTGCTTTGGGGCATGTTGGCTCTGGAGCCCAGTAGCCAGCCTCTGTAGGCTCTGGAAGCCAACCTGTGACAAAACTGCCATAACTCAAGCAGTGCAACCAGATACTGTGATCCCACTACATATGTATTTCCTTCAGTGGCCAGAACATATTTCCCAAGTGGCCAAGAGCATGCTCAGAGTCAGAGCAGGCTTGGAGTCCACAGGAATGTATTAAACTTCTCATCCTCTCCAAATCAAGTTTCCCATTATATTTGTATAATTGGCAATGATACAGGCCATTACAAGGGTAGACTTAGCTGGTAATGGCTGACCCACAGAAAGTACAGACCTAATTCTAATGAATGAACGGACAAATATATTAGAATGTAACACAAGTACTGCAAAAAAAGGAATAAGGCCAATATACACTAGAAAGCAATCGATAGCTAAGAAAAGAAAATTACACACAATGTAAGTGTGAAGTCATTCCTATTAAACCTAGCAACAATGTGTAAGTACATTATGCACATAAATACACCACCTGTCAGATTCCATTTTGATGACCAACTGTATGTACCTGTCCCAGAAGGCTTGCCACTCCCACAGACTGGAATTCGGAAGCTGATTTTAGGGGAGGGCAGATGGGGTCAAGTTCTCAGGGAGTTCAATTTGTAACACCCCTGACACATCTGTTTGGAATGAACATTGCAGTTCCTGGAGGTTACCTAAGGTCATACAAACTAGATTACATGGATTTTACTCATTTAGCATGTAACATGAACACTTGCTACAGGACTGAGTCAGTGAGTAAGTGAGTGATGCTCTTTCTTACTCCTTTATTACGATCTCTATCAATTATCATTGCTCTTGTCATCATAATTACTGTTTGTCTAAAATTTAAAAACCTGTGTGTTTAATACTTATACATTGTATTAGTAAAGCATAATTGTTATTATTTTGGTTTCCTCTCATGTATTTAGTTACATTTGTGCAATGAATGCACATGGTGCCACCACTGATATAAGTTAAAAATTCAAAGTGGATGATTTTTACCTGTTTCATAAAGTATACATTTGTAAATGTGCATATTTCTAGCCACAAGTAACCTTCAAGAAATCTCTGTTAGTCTGTATGTTCGCATTGATGCATAAAACATGAACTGAGCTGTACCATTTGTTGGCTTGCTGTTGTTTTTCTTTCTTTCTCATGCAGTCTCAAAATTACATTTGGAGTCTCAAACAGATGGCTTCCATAACCCTCTAATATGCCTGCACTGGTCTTCCACTAGTTTCAGGTCTCTCGTCCACCAGAACTTGTGCCAGTCCGGTTGTCAAGACAGAAGATGGAGCTACAGATCATCAGGCACTTGTGAATGGAACTTCGGCCAGCCCCCCACTAGCTGTTCCCAGCACGTGTCTATCAACTTTGAAAGAAGAGAGTGATGACATTGACAGTTGCAAATCAGAGAGTGTAGACAGAAAACCTGCCATGGGGAACAGCACAAGCAGCTCCGGACCAGACGCAGTGTCTGGAGAGCTGGAGGACAGAACAGTTAGTTACCATGACAACCGGGTAACCTGTCAGGTGGAGCCTGGTCTCCCAGACCCTGACCAAGGATTGCAGGAGTTTGCACAGTTTGACATGACTGAGGATGAGGCCCTCAGCATTGCCATTCAAAGGTCTCTGGCAGATTCCCTTCAAAACAGGGACAGTTGCCAAGAGTCTGATGATGACCCTGACCTCGCCAAAGCCATCGCTCTGTCAAGGGCAGAACAGCAGACTTCCCAAGGTCATGGTGACATCATGGAGGCTGGAGTAGCAGGGCCAAGTGGAGTTCCTAACTGTAGTAACACGTTCATCACTTCATCCTCTCAGTCCTCATCAGACAGTGCTATATGGGAACACATCACAAAACCTAAGGTAGAAACACCTTCAAGGCATATGGAAGATGATGAAGACGTCCCAATGCAGTCATTGTGCAATCCTGATGCACCTGTATCACCCTACTTGAACCAAAGTACAGCCAAGAGTGTCCTCGGCAATGACCTTACCTTCACCTCCCCAAAGAAAGGCAAGGGGAAGGGGAAAGGAAAGGGCAAAGGGTCAGCAAGTCCCAAGCTGTTGGAGTCTCCAGTGAAGAAGTTGTCTCAGGAAGAGGTGGATGCAGACCTGGAGGTGGCTCTCGCCCTGTCACAGGCGGAGGCAGACACTCAGAAACAACTCCTGGAGGAGGAAGAGTTGATACTACAGAGAGTTTGTGCAGAGTCATTAAAGGTGAGGCATAGAGACATTGTAATCTTATCCAGACTCTTACATGCACCCTGTATTTACATGTACCATGTTGAAGTGTTGATGGAAATGACATGTCTCCCCAGTGATGGTTTTGTTTGTTTGTTTCGCATAGCCAGTATGGCTGGCGACTCCTCTGGCCAATGATGTTCCCATTAGCCAATTTCTACTATTTATTCAGCCTGCAAAGGAGTCTGGTTGAGACTAACCATATGTGCGGTGTGGCTAGAGGTTTGAATAGAAGATCATTCACAGTTTTGTAAGCTTATAAGGAGCAAGGATGTTGTATTTTTTGTTGCTGGGTATTATTCTGTAATACTAAAGGGTTAAGTCAACGTACTATTGTAAAGAAAAGAATGGAAAATATACTTTTTGTATTGTCAAAAAGTCTCTATATACTGTTGTATCCCTGTTCGTTTAAATTAAACGAACAGGGATACAACAGTATATAGTGATTTCAGTGAATGTGATCATCTTTGCAATTAGCCTTTTGGGACAAAAAAAAATGAAGATTATCTTATTATTATATATCTCTATTAGAGCTGTGTACCTAAACAAATTTTAGGTACAGGTACAGGTACAGGTACACAGGTTTAGGTACAGGTCCGGACCTGAACCTGTACCTGAACAATTCGACCAATTTATATGCTCTTCTGAACTCCTTCAATAACAAAAAAACATAAATAAACTTGATAGTTAAGGTTTATTCTTTGTTTATGGCGAATGCTCAGATAAAATATAGGCAAAACTAAGATGTTTTTGTTTTCATGAACACACTGTCCTTACACAGGCACCCATTGTTAACCAGCTATTTAAACATTTGAGGTCACAAATAGGCATAAAATTGGTGTGAAATTGTTTAGGTACAGTACCGGTACTGAGGGATTAGGTATTTTGGACCTGTACCTAATCAATTTTTCCGGTACAGTATCGGTACTGCGTACCGGTACACAGCTCTAATCTCTATAGATCTAGAGTTTGCTGTCATTACAAGGCTCTGTGTGCAGCACCAGTGCCTTCCGCTGGTGAAACGTCAGAAACGCCCGATACTCTTCAGGCATTTTGTGGTGGGGAAGGTTTCCTATGTTTCCATAGTAATGGTATTTTATCTCTCGCCCCTTTTCATCCTTCGGAAATGGGTAAAATCCGTACAGGTGGACCTGGTCACACAGACAGGCCGCCAGCACGAACAAGATGCTCCCTGTCGATGACCGTTCCGGCTTGAATTCTGAATCATTCCACATTCTAGACAGAAAAAAATATGTTAGACATTTGTAAAGAAAGCATGCAGTTTTACTTGCTTTATAAACAGAAGTGCTAAAACTCTGATTACCAGAGAAAATTACCATTGGTTAACCAACTGAATACAACATGTTATGAGCAATTATCAGCACACGAGAAATCATGTGGTTGTTGTAAATATGAACTAACAACTGTCCAAATGTGAAAAATACCTACGCTGTCATCTTTGCATTTATATAACTTGGTGCATATGAAATCTTGATTGGCAAATGATGTTTCTTTAGCATCTCGTTGGTAAATTTCACTTGTTGACGTCTCGCGGATGATACAAAAGCAGGAATGTGGAGAATCTGGTCGTGGATGAGACGCAATCGTTTTATAAACTTCTCTCGTTTTTTTTTACGATTATTGTATCCTTGATAATCGTGTGGAAGAACAGATGGGTTCATGGTGGTGAAGTTCGATTTTGTCCCCACATCATTCTCGAACCCCTCAATAGCAGCAAGGTTCGATCTGAACACGAAGTCTGCAGAGTCGATCTGAGGACCACAGTGGCTGTCCAGGAGAATCCCAGAATTCCCCACAACTGCACAAGACCGAAAGTGCTTGCCCAGAAGAGGCGACGACTCAGGAGTTAGATCATAGAAAGTTTCAGTGATTTCGAACTTCTTTCGTGTTGCGTATTCGTACTTGATCTGTTGATTAACGTGAATTTGAGACTTATTTATGGTGAGGTCTGTATCGGGGTTGAAGTACGTCATAACCCACTTTCTATAATAAAAAAAATTGTTAGAATTAATAAAAGACCAAAGATGACTAGACGATCCTGATACCCATCAAAACTTCTCTTTAAAGAGACTTTAGACTCTTTTTAGCATGCACAGTTCCCATTATACTACTAATCTACAATGTAAACCAAATTCCGCCCCTACATACAATGTAGTAGACTAAGACTTGAGAGCATTTACAACTTAGCTTTGCCCACAATAAGCTCATTAGATAGATAGAATTTTTAGCATCAAATCACAAATATACACAAATCCTTATAGTTTAAAAATACATCTATATGTATATCTACAAATACACTATAGTCTAAGCATTTGGTGCCAAGCTACCTTTATGCTGAATTTCGGGTCATTTGGTTTTCGTATTAGCACATAGGAGCCAAAAATGTACTTTTTGGGTCTAAAATAGCAAAAAAGTCCCATTTTACATAGTTTTAAAGTGACACACACCAAAAGCGTGAATTAAGTTATGTGGGATTGTATCAAAGGATCTCTTATACCAAATTTCAGGTCATTTGGTTTTATATAAGGACACAGGAGCCGAAATTGTACATTTTTGGGTCAAAAATAGCCAAAAAGCCCTATTTTACACAATTTTAAAGTGATGTACGTCAAAAGTGTGAATGGCATTCTTTTGACACTTGTTCAATGTATCCCCATACCAAATGTCAGGACATTCGGATTTAAAATTAGGGCACAGGAGCCAAAAATATACATTTTTGACCGAAAATAGCCAAAAATCTCTATTTTACACAATTTTAAAGTGGCTTATGTCAATAGATTGAATATCATTCTGTAGACATGTGTCCAAGGTATCCCCATACCAAATTTCAGGTCATTTAGTTTTAGTACCAGGGCTCCAGATCCCAAAAATTACCAAAATCACCAAAAATTACCAAAAAACCCAAATAAAACAATTTTGAAGGCCTGTTTTAAAAAAATGGAAAACGTCTGGGGGTATTTGCCCACTCTACCTTCATGCCAACTTTCAGGTCATCTGGCTGAAAAACGGCTGAGTTGAATCCCTTTAAAGAAATGGCAGGAGAAGAAGGAGAAACATGAGGGAAAACAATACATTTCTCCCATACTATAGTAAGGGTGAAATGTAATGAGTAATGATTGGACAGATCAAAGCTCTCAGGAGAAAAGATTGTCTATGCCTCTCAGGTCTGTTGAGTGCAGTGGAATTCTTCTTTTTTCGGAAGCAGAAAATTCCTCACCTTATCCGTTCAACTTCCGATGTATTGAACTGCACTCCCGGTTCCTCATGTCTTTTTATTGACACGATCCTGTGTAAATGAGATATTTAATACAATACTACTACCAAAACTGGAAATAAAACCATATGACCTATGTTATGGCTATTGTCGACATGAAAAAATAAGAAAGAGGTGATTCTGCTGTTATCAATTGGGAACCATCAACATTTACTAAGATAGACCCTCCTAGACAACAGCATACATTAGGTACGTACCCTAAGGTGGACACTTTATGGGCTCATCCCATTAAAAATACCTCACATGGTACAAATAGCAATAATAAATTTTGCCGGCAACTGCATAAAACAACCGCGCCCCACTTAACGTAGCTTAAATAGGCATTTTAAGATCAAGAAAGATAAGATGTCTACATGTTGACTTTAAGTTGTTCCTAAGAGCCAAGGGACTGTAAAGGTTTCTTTTCAATTGTGGCATTCTCGTCTGCTTGAGTGTAAATAAAGTAATGATCAACTTCTGATGAATCATATTCAAATATTTAAGTCTCATTTACGAATACCATTAATTAAGGGTTAATGACCCGCCCCGAGCTGGAGGCAACCAAGAATGCTGTGTTCTGTGACCTTGAGAATCGTTCCGTCCTCGGATATTCTGTTTGCTTTATAATTCAACTGTCCAATAAAGTTGCCTGAATCACCACTTTTTGAGCCCTGGGTTTCATTAAGCCATTGCCAATTTAACATAGTTGATACCTACATGTACTAATGTACATGTAACTGTTTCTATTAAATTGGTGAACAACCTTTTGCCCTTTCTGAAACCTATAAACATACCTGTAGCTTGAAGAAACGGTGGTATTCTTAGACAGCCAAACTTTGTTAACTAAAAATTGGTAGGAAGGCTGTTTGACATGTAGACTAATCAGAAAAGTCAGGCCAAGGGCGAAAAGTAGTCCACAGGCCATCAGTCGAAAACATGCCTTTTTGTCCGCCATGGTGATTGACAATTGTGATGACGTCCGATGAGGCGAGTTTAGTCAAAGTGACCAGGGCGAGGGTGTCTACATATTTGGTAGAGGAAGGATAGGAAGCCAACCTTTGCTAGGAAATGAAAGACATTTCTAAACGGATCACCATGCGTAAAAATAGAGTTTTCAAACATTACTTCATCTAGTTATGTTCTATTCCGATTTCCGAAACAACATTTTTATAATGATTGCCTATTCTAAATAATCCCCGTGTTGAAATGGACTGCTCCAAGTCTACCTCATGTTTACAAAAAAGTTGCTCGACCGGACCAGGATAAAAGATAATTACAAAAAAATCTTCCGGCTAAAGTAACACAGTCTTCATGTGAATGGGGTATACAACTTCTTTTTACTAGCATGTTTGGATCATGATGCCGCATTTCTGGTAAAAATCGTGTCCGGTAAATATTCAATTTTTTAATCGGCCATGATTGCAGTTTGAATAACCGTTCTTCCCGCTCTTCTGATTGTTGTCCTTGATCTTTGTGTAAGCCGTCTTCAGGTTCTTTATCTTACTACGTACACCGCACTGATCTGTTATCTTTCAGAAACCCCCAACTCCCCCAACTTGATGGAAATTTCCAAGTAAAGACTTTTGTTTCTGTACAGCCCTCACCCACAACAACCCCCCCCCCCAAGCTTTTTCGGCGACTCCTGCTCTACAAAAATAGATATCAGGAGGTTGGTCTTGTCCGCCGACCAGGTTGCATATGC